ACTATGTTACTGATTTTTCTATAAAGTAGGCTATGAAACTATCCCTAAATCTGTAATAAGAGCTCAATTTACCCTAGATCGCGTAAGTTGATGAAGGAATGATAGTGGAATTTTCTCGCAATCAAGTGAGTAGATCTCACTTTTTTATTGAAATTCACCCAACAGGCATTCTCATTCAGTCTTGACAGCAATTCCGGCCTCACACCTTCAGCGAGAATTGAAAGGGAAGTAAGGTTATTTTAAATTCATTGGAACCATGAAGCTTACTCGTTTCATTGTGGAACAATTCAACTATTAATCCTTCATCATCTTATGTGACTGGAACTCTTATATAAGCTTTACTGAGAGTTACCAAGTCCACTTTATATGTATATAGATATTCCAAGAAATTTTCGGCTCCTTGCTTTAATAAAGACCAAGGTGATGGCTTGTCATGTCAGAGATATTTCATCACACTGGCGTAAAGAGTAGTTTCTTTTATCTACATTATCGTGAGCGCCAGTTCGCCTCCTTGATATTCCAACATTTTTATGGGTTGTCTTGAGGGGGATCTAAAAAAATGTGATTTGCAGTAGAACTTGGCATTCAAGCGCTAGTCAGGTGTATAAAAGGTGCGCTCGGATTAATCTGCTTTTGGGTATCCCATCGATTGGCAACCATCACTTAGTTATCAGCCAGGAGGCTTCTGGGCTGGCTTTTACTAGGCGTTTCTGAGTAAAATGTCCATCTTTTTTTCATGCTTGCCGACTTACGCACGCTTTAGTTGAATGCTGCAAGATACATTTTAACCTATCTTGCCTTTTCATTTGTTAAATTCCTTTAAGGAATATAGATAACATCGTCAGGCTTAGCACAGATAACCTATTGCCTGCATCCAATGTTTATCTCCCCCGCTGCAATGCCAGAATTAATATTTCTTTGCAAAATCCCTTTTGTTCTGTAGCAGATTGTCTTATATGATTTTGAATTCGTTAAATATTCCTGTCTCAGACACCTGTCCTGCACACTCAGGCGATAGAGCATCTCCCTACTGGACCCCGGTACGACTGCTTACAAACATATATTTAGGTGTTTGGGTGTGGGAATAAGGGTTGGAGTGTGTGTAAATCCTACGCCTTTGTCAGCTGTGTGATTGGTATTAGGTTGACGGCCACTCAAGACCGTCCGTTAATACGGTCAACCTACAGTTTTGTCTGTGTGTATGCATACTAGATTGGAAAAGCTTTGCATGACTTGCCTTATTCGATCTGGTGTTTATATATGTGCGTGTAGTTCTAGCCTTTCATGTGTATGGTTGTGTGTACACTTCAAGGCATGGTGATGAACGTTATCGTTGGGCTTATCAGTTGGGTCAAGATAAGCTCTCCGATACGATATTATCAGTTTGCTTCGCCTCGCCTCGATTCACATCGCCTCACCTCACCTCACCTCACCTCACACCTTGCCTCACCTCACCTCGCCTCGCCTTGCTTCTATACTTCCTCGTTGAGATGCTCGCAGCTTGCATTCCTTAGTTAGCCTTTATCGCCTCTTGTCTTTATGTCTTATCTACTTTAACATCATTCACTCACTCATGTGCACTTATGTGTACACATATTAGGCTTGTGTGCATGCATTCACGATTTGACTGTATATGTTTGCCCACATTTGGAGTTTAGTAGGTGAATAGCAGTGTGGTTAGTAGGTTGCGCGTAGTGTCCTGCCTATGGCCAGGGCTCAGAGTTTGGTGCCCAGGTCTGTCTGTGCAGAATTGTGTTTCGGCCAAGTCTGAATCTATTACATATCTTGCTTTCCTGTCTTGCCAGTTGCTTCTTTTACACACACACACACACACGCACATGCACACACACACAGGCAGGCACGCACAAACATGCACACTGATCTTATCTGATCACAGCGTTTGATATTAGCTTAGCCTCATCCTTTTTGTCCTGATGCCTGGTGCCTATCTCGTCTTTCTATCATAGTTTGCTCTTGTTCTTCATTTGACATTATCTATCTGCCTATCTGTATCTGAGTGTTCAGTTCTCTGTCCCAGTCTTTCGCCTGCTGTATGCCCATGTCTCTACGATTTTGTTCATTCACTATCGGATTCGGAAAGTTTTGCTCAGCATGCCTTGCTTTTTTGTCAGGCCCTCCAGTCATGACGGTTGCTGAGATGGCACGATAACGCCTTGTACACCATTAGGCTAGGCTGTCTACATTGTTTTACGAGACTTCCTTATAACTTTTAAGCTTGAGTTGTTTCTTTGCCATATATCAAAGCCTTTTACTTGCTTTACCTCTCTTGTCCTACGGAAATCATTTCGGGGCTTGCCATTTTATCGTACATTCTTATGATATTAGTTTAAACTTATTTCTATCTTGCTTTAAAATATCAACTATGTTTAATAATGAGGAAAACCGAAAGCACCTAAATTAGCAACTTTAGTAGCTAAAGTAACCTGAGCTCGATCACAGATGCTCACGGGAATTACTTTCAGCTAGGCTGTGTTGAATACACTAGCTAATTGACTTCGTTATGAACAGACTTGGAAACGAGTAACTCTTGAATAAAGACCTAGCCATCCTAGGGACTGATAGCTGAATTCCTCCCAGAGCGATATGATTAGGCCTCAGGATTCCAGTGAATTGCATAGTTCTTTACCTACCAAACGTTACTATAATGAAGATTTGACTGAGGTTTCGATTTCGCCTAGGTCACATTACCGCGCTAAGATGAACTCGAAACCGAATGGTGCGCTTCGCGGCAAGACATTGCCACTCCGCTACACAGCCAGAGGTGTAAATGGGTCATAACGCAGATTCTTTGTGCAAATCTAATTGAGATGGAACCATTCAAACAAGTCTGTTTTACTACATATCGTCCGTACATTGAACCATAATATTAGTCCGGAAGACTATCGTAGAGAACATGTTGAGCCTACGAACGCGTCTCAGTTAAACTTCACACTTGACATGAACTTTTAATGAGACATAAATTCCGTGATTCGCCTTGTTTGCTGGTTCAGACGATACGGAGTCAGGTGACAACAGTGAGGCCACTGCCTCGCCAGCACTTGGGGTAGGAGTCCCTTTAGAATACTATTTGTGTTGATTTAATCGTATTCCCTCTTCCTTCAGACCCCGATCAATCCTTGCTGAACTTTTGTTTCTGCTGCCGTTGAAGACATCTTAAGAATAAAAAAGTACTTTTTGCCAGATTTGACAAGACATTGGAGGAAAAATGATGGCTAGTCGCAATCCTACCCACCCAATTACGATTATAAAATTGGATTATAGGAAAAATCCCTTCCACCTATTTTTTTTACTGAAATCAAGGATATAATAGCATTAACTATTGCAAGCTCTTCGTACCCTGGTTTCTTTTCAAGAGTTTAAAGTTGCACTGACGCCCAAGGCACTGTTGCGTGGAAGTGACATGCCCTAATTATACGCTGTACCATCAGGATTCGATTCCCGTTAGGGGTGCTGATGAAACCCAGGCGAGGTCGAAACTGCAGTCAAGTTTGGAATGGGAATTCCTTTTAGGAACCAAGGCTATGTGAAATTCGGTAAAAATGTGAGGCCTGCCCTTATAATTTTGGAAAATTTAACTATCAGTCCTTCATGACTTTATGCGACCTAAGGTGAATACATCTATCATACAGACGCAGGTCCTGCTTTAATTGTATTGGTCTTATAAAATTAGCCTATAGTGAAAGGTCTAAGATCCTTCCCCAAAGTGTGTTGGTAGCATCCAACATGTATTTGCTTGTATGACATAAAGTAAAGCGAATCGTATTGCTGTTCACGTCTCGGCAACTAAATGAAGTTATGTGCTGTGAATTCACGGACCAACAGACAACGCATTAGCTCTGTTGCTAAATTGTATTTTCAAAAAGGTCTCTTCGCTCCTCATTGTTGGGTATAATTCGATTTTTCCAGCTCCCCCAGAGCTATCTGGGCAACGACAACGCCATACGCCTGACAAAGTTAAGGTGGAACAGTGGTCGGCCCCTCGTGAATCTGTATCACCCTTGTCAGCCAGAGGGACTCCGGAGACGAGCTCAGCCACGACAATCCCGCTTCTCGTTCCGACCACATCCAGCCCAGCCAGATTAGCTACCGTCATTGTCTCCGTCCCGAGTGTCACCGTCAGCCAGTCGACTGTCTCAGGCGGTGAGACACAGGCTGCCATCTCGCCCATCAGTTCAAGCTATCTGCCCGTCTCAGTGAGCTCATCGCGTCTCTCCTTGGCTCCTTCCATGGCCTCGAGTCTTCAGGCCCCGCGTCACTTGGTGTCCCATCATCCAACTAGTCATAAAACACAGAATCAGCAACAACTTTCATCGCACATTATTTCGACTCATCCTCTCTCTGCTGCCAATTCATCCCAACTCCTTCGGCCCACGCCTCTTGGAGTCGGGCTGCGGATCCCATTTGCTGAGTCTATTGAGCCAATTGATACGAATGTTGACTCTATGCCCTATCTTCCACCAGGGCTGTCCTGCGATCCGGCAGACCGAAATCTAAGGTACATACGTACCACTGGGCGTCTGTCGATTGGTCATCTGTGGGGCCCCTATCCGATTCAGCGAAGGCCGGCCAGAGACAAGTCCACGGGTTCGCCACTGCCACCGCCACAACTTAACACCACTTCCACCGGGTCTTCCCGTCTGCAAACAGGGCAGGTGTCACTACTATTAAAAGTAAGTAACCTCATTAGAAATAAAAGTTGGCTTTCGAAGCATGTATTTTTCGTTTGATGAGCAGGTTTTCAAGACTACCAGTAGATCATTTATGTATGAAGTGTATGACTGGTAGTTGAAATTTCCCATAATCATGAGTAGATCTTACATTTCCATTGAATTTCTCGAAATGGGAGATCGAAACTGCAGTCCACTCCAGCCGGGATGGTAATAACTTTTGAGAAAGCGAGGTTATGCTAAATTCAATAGAAACGTAGGGTCTACTCATATAAGCATGGGAAAATTCAGCTACTATTACCTTTAAAGAAATATTGTAAATACATCTCATATTTCGAAGCATCTCTTACTTAATAATTTTTTAGTTATCTTATTTTTCGAGTGTTATTGCAGCTGTAGTTTGGATCTTCTGCAATCTTCTGATCATCGTCTTCAAGACATGTACGGATAAGCCAATTAGTGTTTTTTGCCTGTTAGCTTGATTTAGTCACTTTACAGATGAAAGATCAGTGCACTTTTACGGGACCCGAGGGGGATTTATTCGAGGACAGCATCAATCAGAACGTCACACTAGAACTGGCCAAGAGGAAGCGGCCCTCGTATTCAAGCGGAATGCGATTTCCACTCTCTTCATCGCGCACTTTCTCTCGAAATGTATTCTCAAAAAGTATTCTCTCTGTATTCTCGGCACATTGGAGTTATAGCTTTGAACACCAAGTCACATATAGTTTGAAAATTGTGGTGTTTATTAGTTTATTCTTGCTCTTATTTAGGCCCTACTTTTGAACTAGTGGACTATTTTGAATTTGGATCTCCATTAATTCCGCTGTGCTTCTGCTAATCTAACATATGCCCTTGGTTACGTGTACCATTGAACTGAGCGGTGCATCCGCGACTAGCTAATCGAGAGTTCGGCAAAGTGGACCCGCCTATTAACCTGACACAACCGGATCCTCTCATTCCAGGATTCCCTATAACCAGGACTATTGACAGTCATGCCAGCCTAACTATAAGATAGGATGGAATGCAGGAGCCCTAGTCTTGTGCTTGAGCACACTTTTCTGTTATTAACTCGGGATACATGGTCGAGACGTAAGTTTCCATGAGCTCTGGGCTTCATAACTTTCAAATACATACTTGACAAAGAAACGGGCGTTTAGCCCTACGTTCATAAGAACTTCTGTCTTGATGTAGTCTCTACGCCTTCACTTCTGTGTAAAACTCGTAAAAAGAATGATGAGACTTTGACCTAATATAGTCTATTTACAAATCCATCGTATTCGCCAGCAGCCGAGAAATCGTTTTTCGAACTTTTTAACTCTTTAATTCACTGCGTTTCCCTACCTCGCCCGTTGTCTTGGTCGTGAATATTCTTCAGTTTTTCCACCGGTGCGTTACTCGTTATCCAAAAAAGGCTTCTTGCCCACTACAGGCAAATAAACATACGCTCGTTTATCAATTTTTCGTTCTTTTCAACTTTGCATTCATTCGGCAGCTCTTGTATACATAGTTATCTGGTGGGATGCTAATGCTATTACAGATTACAAGCTCTCTGTAAGCAACCGCTCTTATCTAGCCAAATAGATCTGTGTACCGCATTGATTCGTGTCCTCGCATGCTATCAACAGGCCGTCTCCCAACGCTGCGCTAAATTCAGCCCTGAGACCATTTATCTGTTTTTGCATTTAACTCTGTCTTTCGTATAAGCTGGATCAGCGTGTCAAAATCTCTTCATTCACGAAATCTAAGTTCCCACCTCAACCATGCCTTAGATCTGCCGCATACTCTCTCATAGAACCGCAGGATAAATTTGCTTTTTAAGGGTTAAAGAAATTCAGATCAGCAGCTCTTCTTGTGTACATCTCTCATCATCTTTTAGGACAGCAATACTGGAATTTGGCTTTTATATATATCTTCCCGAGATAATTTCCACTCATCCTGGTGTCCCAGACAGGCAAGCTGGTGCTGCTTCCTCAGAACATCTGACTTTTTAGGAAGGATTCGAGTCCACACTGTTGCATCAGGTCTTTTGTATTTGTTAAATTCTAGAAGGCAGATTAAACTTGACAGGTTTGATTCGAATTCCTCAAATCGAGCACTATTCTCGAATACTATATCCCAGTAATTTTCGTCTCGCATTCTGATAGGCACTGGGATAATTTTTCAAGATGATTTCATCAACACTTTACCATCCAGTACAATCGGACAGGCTATTCAAACTCTATAGGCGTAGGGATTTAGGCGCACAGATGGTGTAAGTCTCAATTTTTATTTTCTGGCCAACAGAGTTCTTCATTGCGCTTGATTTTGCCAGATTCCATCCCTTATTTGGTTCATGGCTCACTCTTCTCATTTATTCTTGCTCTACAATCTCAAAGGTCCCATCGCATACTGACAGTGAGTCGGAGGATTTCCAGTGGATTTGTCTCGGGGAAGAGCACCTCTGGATTCAGCTCATCTGCGAGGCCGGACTTTATGACCGACCGGTTCGACGGACCAACGTTGAGCTGATCGTGGATAGTAGGCTTATACCATATATCTATTTATCTATGAATGCATAATCATTTATTCACAAACATACACTTATATATATGCATGAGTTTATGTGAACGCATGCTTCGTCAGTCCTATATTACTTGTACGTATAGTACCTTATTTCGCTAAAGTATCCACGTGATAACTTTTAATACTATTTGAGCTTTGTCTTGGTCCCTGGAACAGTCGAATTTACCACAGCCTTTATAAGGAAATATTGTTTTCATGAAAGCAAGAATGCTTTCATTCGCATGTTGGAGACAGATCCTGAGCTTTCATATAAAAAAAAACTAGAAACACTTGATGCTTTGTTCATTTGCCTATTCTATGCCTTAGCCATACTGCCATTCAGAAATACAATTTCTTCTTTCAATTATCCATTCCACGGTTTAGGATTTTCATGATCGGCCAGGCCAGTCATCAGCATCGTCACGAAATCTGGGTCAATGTAGCCATTGGCCTCAATTTAAGCGCAGTTCACATCGCTTATGAAGACGCTTTCACTGTCTAACAATCTTATTGAGGCTGCCTATAGCGACGCTTACTTCATATATTTTTTCATCACATCTGATACAACCTGATTCATGTCTCTGAGATCCACGCAGACCGCCTACCTATCTTAATGTA